TATTAGTAAATAATATCTATAAAAAACTTGGGTTGTTTTTTAATTAGAGTTTTAATAAAATATTTAAAACTCTATTTTGAAGTTAGTTTAGTTGTAATTTGAGGTTTGGTAATTTTTTTTGATGCAAAGTTAATGAGGTTTAATAAAATCAAAGATTTATTAAAATAATAGTATATAAAAATTGGTAAATGGCATTTTGCTTAATATTATTAAATCTTATAATTACTAAATTAATTTTTACAAAATACTAGCTCACTTTAATAATATTCTTAATAACTTAGCTAATTCATTAACAAAACAATACAATTTATTATCTATACTATACTTTTACTATACAAGCATCTACAATTTACAATATATGATCTTTTGAAAACAACATTTTATTGAGCATCCAACTAGAAGCTTTATTAAAAATATTTGCAGAGCCTACATTTTAGCAATATAGTCATTTCAGAAACATATATAAAATGAGACTCTCTGGTTTTCCAAATTGACTAAAGATCTATTTGATTATAGTTTAATTATAATCAAAAAATAACACATAATGTTACTAACTTCAAACTCAACTATTTCAAATTATTCAAAATTAAAATTTTATTAAATAAACTTTTTACTTATTTCTATTTTTACAAAACCTATTTATATATATTTTACAATGCTAATTGCTTTTATTGCAACTTAGTTGACTCTCTAACTCACTAGTATATATGCTCAAACTTATTACTTATCTCTAATATTATTTAAACCAGTATATTAAAAAATATTACCAATACAGATCTAGATTTATCTATAATTAACAAAAAGAACTCATTTACAAAATTAGTATCTATTATACTTTTTACTATACATCTCTTTAAACAAACTCACATTATCTTGATATTACACTTAAAGGACTTATTTCTAAATTTTTAATTAATACTATACAAAACTTTAATAACTTATATAAACTAGTCTCAATTAATTATTGTCATTCTGCTTAAAGTTAATGAACTCTTTTATAAACAAATATAGAAACCATATTATATAAACTTTGCTAATTGGAAACAATAACAAAAACTTAAACCACATTACTTTCAGCCTTTATCTTAATAAAACTAAAACAATAAAAAAAACTTTAATCATAAAAGTTATACTTATTTCTGTCTATGCAAACTATCTAACCAACTATACTCTAACTCTAATATTTGTTTATCTATTAGTTATGCTATTCATAAAATCAACATTTGAACCATTCTTTGGATTAAATACAATATTTTTTATAATTATATTCTAAACTTACAAATCTAAATAAGTCTTAACTACTCTAGTAGATTTAGATTATAGATAAATATGTTTGAGCTTTTATTTTTAAATGTAATTTTTCTTTTATTTGTACTTAAAGCAATAGTTATATAGTTAGCAGTTTAATAATTTAATTCTAACTATAAGTATTGATTTTAGCTATAATATTTATATAAAAAATTACTTTTTGTATATAACAACTTCATGTGGCTACTAACTTTTAAACTATTAATAAAAATACAAATAAGATCTTATTTTAATATCAAAAAAACAAATTAGTAAATAATTTTATTTTGTTAGTAATAGAAAATTTTTTAGATCAATTAAAAAGATTTTTTTGATTTTGTTATAAAATTTTAAGTTTTGTTTATTTGATTATTTTTTTGTTTTTAAGAAGTTGAAAGCAGTTTTTAAAGGATTTGGTTTTGTTGTATTTATCTATAAGAAAAAATTTAGTAACAAGATAAATGGATTATTGTTATTAATTTAGTTTAGTTTAGGCTAATTTCAATTTAAGATTAGAAATGCAAGTCAGATGAACAAAAAACCTATATAGAATTTTAACAAAAGAGTTAAAAAAATGATTATTATTACTAAAAAAAAATACATAAAATATTAAATTTATAACTGATAATACAGATATGAATGTGTTGTATATAAGTTCTAATAGCTACAGTATTGGGTTTGAGGTTTGTAATTATTGAGAAAATGGCTTTAAATAAGTTATTATCTGAAGCATAATGAGGACTTACAATGGAGACATAAATACACAAAATGTCTTAGGTTCTGCTCACATGATATATATCCAATCAGAGTTTAAATTAATATAACAGATTGATATAGATCAGCCTGACAAAATGGAAAATCTCATAAAATTAAAAGCTTCAGCATTAACAGCATCTGTTTTTCTAGTTATAATTAAAAGAAAATTATAAAATTTTGGTTATAGAATATTTAAAAATAGTATTTTTAAATTCAAACCTAAACTCTTTCTGCAAATTCATTGCACAAAAATTAACTAAAAAATTTGAGTATCAAAAAACACATATAACTATTTATTTTACTAAGACAACTTGTTTTGGACTTCTAAGTAAACTTATTCAGCTTATTATTTATATATAATTTGCAAATGTTAAGCTTCTATATTTCAAACTCATCAAGAAAACTGTACTAATAACTTTTGGTCTTTAGTTAATAACTTCTAATCATCTCACAGGTTTTATTGCCTTAACCTGTTCTATATTTTTAAGTAAAGTTGTAACATATATTTACCTAGTCAAAACAAGTTCTAAATGAAGATTTTTGATCCAATATTGACAAAACTACAACTAAATTCAATATTTATTCTCTTACAAAAATTCTTTTCTATCTTTTGTTCTCACCCTGTTCTCTTTTTCTATTACATGGTTTTTGTGTTATCATATAATCACTTCCTAATCCATACCTTGCTATGAATATGAATGTTGCTAAGAGAGTTATAATTTAAAGATCTTAGTTCTTGAAAATCTAAAATAAATACATATGACTTTATTTTTGTTCACAATTTCTATTTCTAGTTTTGCACATTAATGTTATACAGTTATCTAGTTTAGAATTATATTAGCTAAAACATATTTTTGATTATAATGCTTATGAAACATTTTGTTCAAAAAATTGATTTTGGGTAATTAAAAACTCATTTAACAGGTTCAGATTTGAATAAAGATAAATTGAGTTTAAATAATATTCTTGCCTTATAAAATAAAAAAGTCTTAATTCTATACATAGTCTTATCTTACTTTATAAATAAAATTAGGAACATTATCAAAATAGGTTGAGTTATATATCAATAAGCTAATCAGATTATAAATTTTGAATAGTAAAACATATTCTTTTTTAGGTCTTATACACTTTGGCTTAAAGAGTAAATCCTGATGAGATCAATATGGATCATAAACTATAAGTGCTTCACTTTTCGATTACAAATTTTTTGTCAGCAACAAATACTGCAAAAGCCACAAATGTAACTGAAAAGTATAATTGTAAGCCAATCAAAATCAAAATCAATTATCATTTTTGGTAATTATAATGATAATTGAATACTTATCAACAACTATAAGAAGGATTTTGACTGTACTCGGTGACTTTTTTTATATTAAGAGTCAGTTGTATTTATTAATGTTTGTATACTAGGAACCGGAAACCGATATAAGTCTGGAGCATAAATAAATAAAGTAAGTATAAATAAATAAGATAATGAATTTGTATTACTAATAAATAACCTGTTTGTTATGTTTGTTGTGTTTGTTGTTCAAAATAATTTTGCAATCACGCGTCACGCAAAAAATTTCCAAAATTACGATATTGATATATTTGATTAAGATAATTATACTGACGCATCAAAAAGATTTTTCGTGGCCAAATGATCAAAAACGAAACTTTTGTATCACATAGTGAGGACAATTATTTTTGTGTAACAGTGATAAACTTTTGGAGCCAAACTAACACTAAATTACGTAACTGACTCGATAGTGTTAAGTACACGAATTTTAAATTAGTTCGATGTAACGTGATTTAAAATTTATTCTACATATATTTACGATCCTCTTTTTCTTATACGTCTTAAAAAAAAATGGGTCAAGGGAATCCGTCGAAATTAAATAAGATGGGATATAGTTATAAAAATGGAATTGGAGTTGAAAAGGATGAACATAAGGCATTCATTTATTATCAAAAATCTGCCGATATGGGGGATGCTGAAGGAATAAATAGTGTTGGAGCTTGTTATTTTAATGGGGATGGAGTTGAAAAGGATAAACATAAGGCATTCATATATTTTCAAAAATCTGCTGAGATGGAGAATACTAGCGGAATGTGTAATGTTGGAGATTGTTATCTTAATGGAGATGGAATTGAAAAGGATGAACATAAAGCATTCGAATATTTCAAAAAATCGGCAGAAATGGGAAATAATATTGCAATGAGACAACTTGGATATTGTTATCGGAACGGAATCGGAACGCAAATAGATATGCAAAAGGCTAATCATTGGTTTCAAATGGAAAGAAACAATTCTCGCGAAACGATTAGATCAACGCATGAAAAATTTGATATTAATGATGATGTGAAAAAATTATTAGATGATAATAGATATAAATTAACATGGATTCCTTATAATGAATTTAAAAATATCAAAGAAATCGGACAGGGTAATTTTGCAACTGTATATAGTGCGAGATGGATAAGAGAAACTAAAGAATATAGTGAAGATAATACATTCGTGCTTAAAAAAATTCATGATAAAAATTATTTAGACGAGGTATTTTTTGTAATTTTTACCATCAAATTTTTTTTTTTTTATATTACTTTATTAATATATTTCCTTAAAGCTGAAAGCGTATTGTGAAATCGGATATGAGAATCCTTCATTTTTAAAATGCTATGATATATCAAAAGATGAAACTGGCAAATATATCCTTGTTTTAGAATATGCAAAGATGGGTTCTTTAAATAAGAATCTTAATTCTATAGCAAAAATGAGATGGAAAGATAAATTGAAATTGTTATATTGTATAACTTTCGATCTTGTAGCTATCCATTCTCAAGGGCTCGAACACCGAGATTTACATAGTGGCAATATTTTACAAAGCGATTTATGTAGTGCGTATATCGCAGACCTTGGGCTTTCTATAACGAGTAAAAAATTCGGTGTTGAACACTATATTGCTCCAGAATTGTTGATGGACCATAAAACGTTTACACCAGCAGCTGATGTTTATAGCCTTGGCGTCATTATGACGGAAATATCAACTGGAAAACAAGCTTTTGAAGGTTTAGAATTTATTCCTGAGACACCTGACAGTTATGTTAAATTAGCTAAGAGATGCATAGATCCAAATCCTAAAAACCGACCTACTGCAAAGTCTGTTAATTTTCAAGTTGGACATTGGATCGAAGAAATATTAAGCTCGAATGAAGACAATGAGATTAGAAGGCAATTTTTAGAAAATGATAATACTTCACAAATAATTAACACAAACAAAGATTCATTTGTGACGAGTAAACCCATCGATACCATCGATATTTTAGAGTAAAAACAAATTTATCATTTTATGAATATAGTAGTAACGTTTTTTTATTTTTATTAACATGTATGGGATATTTTTTAATATTAATGAACACAAGGATCGTCAAAGCAGCTTATAATGCAACTTATATCGTAAGATAATTTGACACTAGCATTACCCATCTAAAAGGTTTGCTAGAAAAGCTTCGATATTACGTATGATGTTAGTGCTACATTTTCGCTGTAACATTAAAGTTCTATGCTATGATAATACCAAGTTTCTCAAAGTAATCTTCTTATTAGCACGTGGATGTAGTTTCAGACCGTTATTTTTTGTGTCCCAAAATTTGACTAGTTCATAAACGTCTAACACATTTTATTTTATTAAAATGGTCTTAATTTTTTCAGAGCAATAATGACCTTTAAGATAGAACTTCTAAATACTATAATAGATCGAGTAATTTATAAAAGTTTTTAGCCAAACACGTAAATCATTAAGGCCTTATATAATTATTTCTAGTTATCTTGTAAAGGGATAATAGGAAACTATGTTAAAATTTCATATAAAAATAATTTTGACATTTTTATAATGTTGCTAAACTTTGCTAAATATATAGTTATTTAATATTATTGTGAAAATAGATTTTTGCAAGTATTTTTAAATTTAATAAACAATATCTCATAAATTTATAAATTAGATAATTTGAATATTGGTTAATTTGTCTTATTAAAATGAACCAAATATAGTCAAACATCTATTTTAAAACCAACTATTATGCACATAGAATAAAACCTCTGTATAAGCACAAATTCTTTATAAACACATCTTTTAAAAAAAGTCCCAATGGTGTGATTATAGATTAGACTGTATTATCAAAATTGGATCCGGTTTTTTTCACCGAAAATCAATTCGTCGACAGTACGATTCACAGACAAGTTTTTTTATAATTACACTAACCTTAACTCTAATTCTAACCTGACCTGATCTGATCCTAACGACAATAACCCGAATTATTTTGTCAGTGAAATGACTGTCGGTGAATCGTAATGTCGGTGAATTGAACTTGTCAGTTAATTGATTGTCGGTGTAATGAACGAAATCATCACAAGGAAAGACTTTAATTAATCTGTTATGTCTGTATGTTATCAGATCACGTCACTTCCAAATCCAAATCTTTGGAAATTATGGGATTTTGGGTGTCAGTATTCTTGGGTAAGACCAATAAGACTTTTACTAAAACATATCTACCGGGTCGGTTAAAAGTCCCTGAACAGGACCTTCTTTTATTATCCCTGCTAATATTTCTTTTATTTTTTTTTATATATGCATATACCAGTATATTGTAAAGGAGGGTCCTGTTTAGGGACTTTTAACCAACCCGGTATAGTGTTTACATTTATATATATTGTTGGGTTCGGAAGATTGCGACTCTGTCGCTCCACAATTCAATTTCTCGCGTAACGTACGATAAGTAACCTTTTCGAAAGAGGGTGTTAGATTTGGCTGGTGGGCGATTAAGGCTTTCGGTTACTTTGGGTCAACGAATGCAAGTAGGGTAAGTCACGTGTACAAGGGCTTGAACAACCAACAATGATTATTGGGGTTTACAAGATTTATGCTGGGTACAGTGTTAGGGTTTTTATTATGGATGATACAATGTATTGGGACTTGTTTATTGATCAAGTAAACAAGACATATCATCCCTTAGTGCCATTTTGGTCTTTATTTATAATACTAAATTCATCACTTACAAATGTGACTTTGCACTTATTATTACTTTAAAGCTATTAAATGTTATTTACACTGATCTATGTAATATCTTTAAGGATGTGTAATTTCTACTTCATCCATCCTTCTGGATCCGAAATACCATTTCTGGTCACAAATGTAACTTATTACATTTTGTGTATTTTTTACATGATTGAACATGATTTTCAGTATCACAATATTCTCAAATGATCAACATGTACCTTAAATATTCATAGATCAAGAGATACAATGAAAATTATAGTCAACAAGTGTCAATTCAAATCTGACAGTCTTTAATTAACACCTAAATGTCAAATCTTTGATGATCAATAATTATTATTTCATTAATCCAACAAAAAAATACTATGAAAAAAAAATGAAAAATTCTCAAAATCTAATGAATATATGTGATAATTCATATTAGACCACCAGTATTTGTAATAAAAATATTCTGATTTGTTGGGTATTAGTAGAAATGAAGTTTCTGCTTGTACACATATGATCAAGGTATTTTTGCTAAATATCCAGTGATTTTGATATAATGATCAGGGTATTTATACTAAAAAATTATATATTTATCACTATTTATTATAATATCTCTAATTTAATGGTGTTCTGAGTTTTATTTTTATTCATCTTATATATGTATAGTAGAGATAATATATGTTCACAGATACAATAATCAAGTTACTAATATAAGTTGTGAAATGAAATGTGAAAAATAGGCAATGCATAATAATATATGATAAATAGAGTCATATAGACCAATCAAATACTGAGAATTGCATATGCATATTAACTTGTCTGTAAACTATACATTATATACTTTATATTCTATTCTTGGTATGACAAAATTTTGATAACATATAATCTTTAAGTTTTAATAATTTTCTAATTTTATAAAAAAAATTAAAATGAGAATGTGATGACCTAGTGAAGTGGTCAGGTTGTCAACCCTCCAAGTGGTAGGTTGGGAGTTCAAATCCCATTGACAGCAAAAATTTGGATAATCACCTATGTAATATTCGTATTATAGCAACTGTTATTAATAATTAGGTTAGGATACTTGTAATAGTAGTTACACCAGTATGACTGATAGGTTATGGGGCATTTATGTAACTGGTCACATGACATTGTTCTTTGGGACAAGGTTGTAGTTATATGAAGAAATGCAAACCAGCAATAGACAATACAAACACTAGATAAGTCCTTGTGGCTGTGTAAATCCATTAAAATTGGGTAACAAGAAGTCTATTTAGAAAGACCCAAGTAGAAAGGTGGCCAGATCTTTGATGGTCCTACTGTAAAGATTAGCCTTATAAAATGGATACCAAGGTTGAAGTAGCTGGATGGGCAAAAACTTCTAGGTGGGGGTACTACCAACCAGGCCACCAGATCGAGCTAGAGAAAAAAGGATATCGGGCCAATCTGATATACTAATGGACTGGTCATAAGTCCTATCGGACTATTTGGATTGGAAGTTTGATGAACTGGCAAGGATATACTAAAGTATTTCAGATATTCTGTAAAGTAGATGCTTAGGTTTGTGTGAACTCTACAAGAGCATAGCAGTTTAATAGTCAGCCCTGACCACAAGTGTTGGTTCTGCTATAGCAATACCTAGGTCAGCTATAAAAATGGGTATAGAAGGCTTTGAGGGGTTTACCTTGAAGATAAATTAATCCTAAGGTTGAGACAATGATCTGAGCATTTGGGATAACTTAGTGATATTAATACAGATTATAGGTTCAGAGGTTTTAAAATAGAACACCCAAGCAGGAGTATTAGGTATGTCAATTGGTAGAGAACCTTCGAGCGGACTCCTTAAATAGGTAATATAGAAAAGTTACATGTGTGGCCAATTGTACGCTTACCTATAGTAGTTCATTGAACCACAATACTGATAAGTGATTAATAAAAGTCAAAAGACCAAAGAGGTCACCTTAATACCAAAAAAAAAAAAATTAAATTAAAATCTATTCTAATAAAATTATAGCTTAAACAAAAAGCAACAAATTTGCATGATAGATTTTTTTAAAATAAGTTGTTTTTAAGACATAATCATTTTTATATTATATATATAAAAAGAAGAGATTTCTTACTATCTAGTATTGTAAAAACAATTAATTGTCAAATATAAAAATATATAGTTATTAATATAAAATTTTAAAGTTAATAATAGTAGCATATTTTAAAATTAAATGACTTTTAAAAAAATGTTTGTTAAATCTTTTTAATATATCACATAATAATAAATACAAATTTAATAAACATTCTTAGATATATTTAGTATTGATAAGTGAAATTTAAAATTTTATTACAAATAAAAATTGAAAAAAACTTAAAATATTAAAATAATAAAACTTAGAAACTACTAAAAATAGCAAAATTAATAAAATATTATAAAATAAATAAAAAAAATAACATTATAATATCAGAATATCATAACTAATTATATAAAAAATATACAAAATAAAATAAATATAATAAGTTACATTTATAATAGAAAATAATATTTTGAATTCAAAAAAGTAGATAGAAAATAAAAAAAGGAAATAAAAAATATTAAATAAATATATATAAATAGTTTTAATTAGTTTTAATAGATAATAAATATAAAACTACTCTTCTCCATTAACAATTAATTTACAACAATTATCTTACATCTTTCAGTCAAGCCAACTTACTAACAACTTATAGTTTATTGCTAATTTTAATTATAATCTAACTACTATTTCATTTTATACTAATAGTTCTATTATTAAGCTTGGTACCTCTTAATGCTCTATAGGCATAGCCTGAATTCAAATTGATAACTCTACAACTACTCATTTATTTTAGATACAAGTTAAACTTTGGCTATGCTTTTTTAAAATTGAAATTCTTGCTATTCTTTTGGCAATTATTACTGTTCCCAAAAACTGTTCTGTTTATATCTTTATTGAATCACAATCTATAATTTTCAAATATTACAGTATCTGCTCATTAGCTTTTAAACTCTTTTATACTCATACTTTATACTTCTCTATTTGACAAACTCTTATTAAATTCATTAACTCATACAATATTTAGCTCATTATTCACAAAGTTATTATACACCAAGATGACCTATTTAATAACCTTGTTAATTAGCTTGCTCATAGTTATAAAATACTATTCTTTTTAAATTTTTGAAATAACAACTCTTGAAACTCTGCATATATTCTATTTATTAACCAATATTCTATTGAGATTCTTATTCAATACTCTATTCATACTATTTATTAAGCTCATATTATAACACTTTAGATATCTTAACATTATTTTCAACAATGGTTTACTATTGTATCCAATATTAACTAAGAAACTATTTGGCTTTATATTAATAATAATCAAAAAAGTTTCTAACTTTGCTCATAGTTTTCATTTCTCTACTTTAAAAATTTTTTATATTAAAATTTTTTTAAGTAAACTACTTGTTTCTTATATTCTTCACAAATGTAATTTTTCTTATTCTTCTCTCTGCCATTAATATAATCAAACTAGTTCTTCATTACATTGAACTCTTTGTCCTTTCACTTAAACAATTTATCACTTAATCTCTATCTCTTAACTGTATCTTAAATACTACTGTTCTCAATATGTTCACTAATTCTGTTTCTAATTTATATCAAGAAATTCTTACACTTAACAGTTTTAAACTACATAACTTTTCTTATATACTATCTCTTATTTCTACTATTCATAATACTTCTATTCCTTACTATATAGCTATCTCTCTTTTTATTAAATATCTTCTTCATTTAAACTAACAAATATATAAATAAATATAGATCTTATATTGTATTTCATATTCAACACAGTCTTCAATTACATCTTTTACAAATTCAAATCATAATTTTCTTTCTAGTTTACTATTACCTCTTATCTCAATGCTACAAATTATTACTAAAATTGATCTTTGGATTATCCAATGAATTAAATATTATATTTCTCTCTCATATATTATTACTAACACCCAAATCTAGGTAAGCTTTAGCTATTCTTGTAGATTTAGGTCACAGATTATATGTTTGAGTCTTTATTCTTTATATCTAATTTAAAAGCAAGCTTTTCTTTATAAAAACTTCAATTGAATTTCAATAAAGTTAAAGACATAGCCTTATCATTAATATTTAAAAAATAAAAATAAACTAATAGCTTGATGATTATATAAATAATAAAAAAAATATAATAATAAATATAAAAGTTATATTTATATAATGTTGTAATTTAAAAACTGTAATTCAGTTGCTTTATAATTCAAATTTTTATATAATAAACAATAAATAATCTTTATAAACAAGAATATTAGATTTGGTTAATAGGTAATTAGAACTTTTAGTTATTTTAAATTAATAAAAACAAATAAAATATTTATGTAATCAAGAATTTAAACAAACAATAATGATTATTTTTTTTAATTAAACTAGCTTTTTTGGAACTAGAGCTTTTTTATTTATTATAGTAGGACACAATAGCTTATGGTCCAATTACTTTAGAGGAGCTATTTTATATTAGAGAATATATCTAGTTACATATATACTTTTAATGTCTAATTTAAGTAGTCCATCTATATATAAATTCTACACTAGCTGCTATACCTGCAATCCAACTACAAATGTTGCCTATTTAAACTCTCTGTACTACAATTCTTACTATATTACTAAAACATCTCTATTACATGATGTCAGTTAAAAAGTTCTAGATGCATACCTATACTCTTAGAACTCCTATCTTATTTTATATAAATTATTCTCAAGACATTGTTACTAGAGCCTTCTGTATCCCAAGTTATAGCTAAACCTAGTTTACAACCCTTGCAAAGTTTATACAATCCTAATATTCTCTTTTTACAACCTCACTGATACCTTGTCTATTCTTGCAAGTTCTTCTATACTACCAATTCAGTTAGCCCTATATGATGCAACTTTATAACCATATTAACTGATAGCCAGGTTGGTGAACATTCTGCCTAGAGGTTCTTGTTTATACAGATAACCTGCTTCAGGTTTTCTTCTTTGAATCAAGTCTTCATAGATGGCATCATCAAAAGTTGTACTACCTTTCCGCTTGGGATTTTCAAGAAGACTTCTAATCTGAATATATATTTTCTGGATTTATTCATGTGATATTGCATACTTCCAAAGTTAATCTTGGTATAACCAGAATTACAGGATCTACAAACTCCAGATCATAGATAAGTTTGCTAAAATAAACTATTTTTTTAAAATTCTGCTGCTAATGCGAATTGAACATTGGATCTACTGCTTGAAGAATAACACCCAACCACTACACTAGGATTACCATTCTCAACAATAATGATCATAAAGATTTATAATAATAATAGTATTAGTATTTATTATAGATAATATAATATAATGAGACTTATTAATTAATAAAACAAGTAAGAACACTTTTTCTAAGAACTATTTTAGTCTTTATTTATATTATTAAATTTTATTACTTATATATACATATAAGTTTATAGTGATTATTTCTTAAAATTAATT